AAGGAAGGAAGGAAGGAAGGAAGAAAGAAAGAAAGAAAGAAAGAAAGAAAGAAAGAAAGAAAGAAAGAAAGAAAGAAAGAAAGAAAGAAAGAAGAAATGAGGACATGAAGATTGGGAGATGAGCAGGGATGAATATGATCAAAATACATTATTTGTGTGTATGAAATTCTCAAATGATCAAAATATTATATATATATTCTGAAAGTCCATTATCAGTAATTATCAGAGAGATGTAAACTAAAATCACGAACACATTGGTTCAAATGACTACAATAATTAGTGTTAATGAGGATGTAGAGAATAAGAGAACATTTGTACGGCATAGCTAGGAATGGAAACCAGCATATTCATATGAATTTCAATTTGAGCCAGTCCACAAAAAGCTTAGATTTAGATGTAAATTTGCACTCCACACATAGATCGTCTGAAGGGGTGTGTATCTTTACAATGTTCCTCTTCTCATTCTGTCCATTTATTTGGATCTTCTCAGATATATTTCATCAATATTTTTGCCATGTACGTATACATGATTTATTAGTTTGTACCTCATTATTCCCTTTGCTTTGAATTGATTATAAATGATATTGTGTTTCTATTTTCCATTTCTACATATGAGTTAGACAAATGGTTGATTTTTGTGCATAACAATTGTTTCTTGCATGTTAGGTTTTAGAGAGGAAAGGGGTCCAAGAAAGAAATGCCGAGTTGAAACAGCCTTAGGTTAGGAGTCATCAGAGAGCCAGACAGAGCTGTGAGTGCGAAGGGAGAGTTTCTTTCAAGGTCGCTCATGAGAAAGTAGGTAGGTTGTGTCCAAAGAAATGGGCCCAAGGCTGACTCAGCTCAACAAGTTAGATTCAGAAAACATTATCATTTGTATATTCCTGACTAAAATGGGTATTGAAAAGTCCCAAGGGCATCCCTAGATAAGGAGTGCTTGGAAGGACAGTAGGCCTAGTTAGTATCCGATGAAACAGTTCTGTTCCCAGCCCTCCTTTGCTTTGGGTTTATCTGGAAATGCCCAGTCAGGGGAGAAGGAGGAGGAGGAAAGTGGAACACTGTGCTCTTGTGAGAACAATGAAAGGAGAAATAAAGACTGCAAGAAGGCTGTGGTAGTCTGCCTCACAGAACCTGGGAGAGAGAGACAGAGAGACAGATAAATTGAGTCTGTGAGGTGCCTCATAGCAAGTAGAGGATTCTTATGTAACATTTCTAATTTTTTTTGTTTATAAAACACAAACAAGACAGGGATGATTTTATAGAAAAGGGGATTGGGGGGCCCTAAAGGATTAGTGATCATCAAATTCATTTCGGTCCTGGATTAAGACATTGTTCAGTTAGGAGTTCTCCTCCCTAAATTTGGTGATGCATACATTCGGAGGATGTTGTGCACATGAGTTCATACAGCATTTGGACAGTGGTCTAGATAAATGGGGTCAGCACACAGACTATAAAGGTCTCTATGGATGTAAGAATCAGCACACTTATTAAGGATGTAACAATAGACATGAACCATAAAGTCCGAGGTAAGTTCTGCAATCATTTGGCCCATGATTCTGATGCCTGCTGTCTGGTTTTTGAAGCAAGGTTGGCTAACATGTTTGCTGCATCTCTGGCAGCTCTCCTCCAAGAAGAGGCCAAGTTCTCCCTTTTCTCCTGTCAGGAGAGTTAGGAACTGCCAATGAGTCTACCTAATCCTGGATTCTTACCGGGCTTTGAGAGATCTCACCAAGACTTTCTTGTATATCCTGAGATGAACATGATAGTATGTTAAGGATACAGCTAAGCCTCCTATTCCTGTGCTAATGCCTGCTGGTATCCCCAAAGCCACAAGCAGAGGGATAAGAAGGCAGATTATCTGTTTGCATACGTGACCAATTAAGTGGACTGGAAAGCTTCGTTTATTGAGAGCCACATCTACGCTTGGGCATAAGTGTGTTGGGGTACAGGTACCAATCCGTTTGGTGAGAAGAGAGGGGTAGACTGGTGTGCCCTACTTGAATAGACAGGTATTAAAGTGGGGGGGAATGGAATAGTTGGTATTTTTTTTTGGTAGGTTTAATTTCACATACTGAGAGAGAAGCATGAGAGCAGGGTTGAGGTTTGAAATATCTTGGAGGAACAGGAAATGTTTGCGTCTGGATAATAGGATGAAAGAGGTTTGTCCTAGTTAGGGTTTTTATTGCTATGACAAAACACCATGACCAAAAAGCAAGTTGGAGAGAAAGGGTTTATTTGGCTAACACTTCCATGTTGGTGTTCATCACTGAAGGAAGTCAGGACTGGAACTCAAACAGGGCAGGAACCTGCAGGCAGAAGCTGATGCAGAGGCCATGGAGGGGTGCTGCTTACTGACTTGATTTACATGGCTTGCTCACCCTGCTTTCTTATAGAACCTAGGACCAG